AATGACAGACCAGAACCCGTTTGAGAACCGGTTCCCTTCCGGAATCTATCGCCTGTCTGAAATTCCCAATGATCTTCCCTTATGGAACCCATGCTGAGTCTCCCTCAATAGTTCTTGTCTGCACCTGTTTTAGGTCCAATTGTAGTCTGTAAAATGACAGACCAGAACCCGTTTGAGAACCGGTTCCCTTCCGGAATCTATCGCCTGTCTGAAATTCCCCATGATCTTCCCTTATGGAACCCATGCTGAGTCTCCCTCAATAGTTCTTGTCTGCACCTGTTTTAGGTCCGATTGTAGTCTGTCTTGCAGGTCATTCTGCACCTGGCTTAGACTTGCATGAAATTTAGTTTGCATATCCGTCTGAGTTTGGCTCAAGCTAGTTTGAAAGATAACCTGCATATCATTTTTGAAGTCTTTCAGAGATTCTAATGTCAGCATAGTTCCCAATGACTATAGTCTGTGTGGTAGGCAAAGATGCCGCAGATGTTTGCGGCGCATTTTTCTTAACTAGTTTACTCATGTTCCTGTTTGTTTTTTAAATTCTGTTATATAACTAGTCACCCAGTGTCTTTACTGTTTACCCCTCCCTCCTATTTTTTATCTTACCAGATTCAATATTAAAATATCAAAACCAATATCAAACCATACATTAAACTCAATATAAGTATCTTCCCAATCCAGACTCCCCCAAAATTTTCACTTAAATTATTCTACCAATTTATAACACTTTAAATCTGACATTCATCAAATAAAATTTCTCTAAGCATCTTTTAGTACACACGCATACAAACAGATGTAAAACAACCCCAGGGGAGAACTAGTGGTTAGATTACAGGCGTCTTCAATCATTTCTGTATCTCCTCAGTAATCCCAGCACATCCTGTTTCAGGTCTCTTTACAATTCTCCAGATCACAGTTAGGTTCCAGTTCCAAGTTAGTTCGCTCCCAATATATTCCAGGTGTAAATTGAAGGGTAAGCAGATCCAAAACCAATAGCAGATGGCAAATAATGGAATCCAAACTTCTTTTTTATATTCCAACCAGGTAAAAGCCAATATAGTCTAACAGGTAATGTCAGGTTCTGCAGCAAGTAAATCTCCACACACGTTTCCAAGGAAGCGTTATGCTTTATTAGATTACAAAACTGGTACCCATATCCACAGGATTATTGTTAGGAAGGACCATGGGGCGGAAACATCCTTACATATAGTAGGACGGGGGATACATGATAATCGGGAGAGTCGCAGTGCCTCATGAGAGCCGAAAAATTCACACCAGGGGTGGAACACAAGCCCTCCCTCCTTCACAAGGCCAGACAGATAATGCCATCTGGCAGAACTGGCTCCCACGGTCACCCTAGCAATGTTTACTGCAAGCGACAGAGCAGTGAGCAAGCCAGGATCAGGGACGGGAACAAGCAAAACATGGCAGCTAGCTGACAGGTAAAGGTCTATTTTTCAGAAGTAATAATAGTTAAAAAACAACTGCAACAATAACAGAAAAATAAAAATATTTATCTAACAAAGGTAGGTGGAAGAATCCAACAAAAATATGTGGAAAATACAGCCAGTATTTTCCAAATTTATAATCCCAAGGTAGGTATGAGAATATCCAGTGTTTTCCAGTTAGCCCAACCAAAATGAGCAGATTTATTATCCAGCCAAGGTGGGTAGTAGAATAGCTTTTAACTTCTAATTGCCACTTCTAGTTACCATCTAGTTTACATTCTGCAGTCTTCCTCTCCCATCAACAAGAAAAAATCAAATCCAGTTCAGATACCCAGTTCTGATTGCTGCTACCTTATTTACAGTTTCTCTCCATCTCAGGGAAATAGGCAAAAGTGAAAGTAAAATGCACTTGATGAGCAGAAACGGAGGGGGCTAAGGAGGCTCTCAAAAACATCCTTGTTTAAAAGTATTTATAGTAAGATAACCAAGTAGGGAGAATAAGTGTTTAGGTCTTTAAATCACAGTTTATGAAGTTTGCAGGCAGATTATCTTTGTTTTTTCTACGCTGATCAGTGCAAGCAGCTAAATGCCAAGATGGCGGCTGTACCCACTGGGAGATCGGGGCTTATCTCCAGGTCTCAACCCCTGGTCTAGCTGAGAGAAGTGACCCAAGAAATCCACCTCACTATTTTCAGAGACCCCTTCCAGGGGCCTCCTTGGGTCTAGAGTCCTCTAGCCGCCCCCGAACCCAAAAAAAAAAGTGGGCCAGCTCAGAACATCCCAGGAGCTCCTGGGATGTTACTGACTTTGCTGCTGCGTCAACCGGAAGTTCTCCTCAAAGTAAAATTTAGAATCAGTCTTTTCGTTTGTTGTTGTTATGTTAATGCAGTTTTTTTACAGGGACTGTAGGTGGAGCTATTTATTTCGGACAGGGGTGTCAAACATACGGCCCGGGGGTCGGATCAGGCCCCTGGAGGGCTTCTGTCAGGCCCGCAGTGGAACTGGCTGTCTTCTGCTTCTTCTTCCAGTTCTGCTGCTGCTGCTGCTGCTGTGTCATCGTAGGTTTGTAGCTTACAGATATGCACCTGAACAGCATACTCAAGATTGCAACAGCACAGACATTTTGATGCAGTAATTCAGAGCAAGAGGTGTCAGTTATCAGAGACTGTTAAATACACAAAATATTGCAAGAGTGCTACTGTTTTAAGCATGTTTTTATTTTAAGTAAAAAAAACACCCCTTTGTGTTTGTGACCTTTATAAAATTTATATCTCCGCTACCTGGCATTACATTTTATTTCACACACGGCCCAGCCCAACAAGTTATTTATGTCAGATCCGGCCATCATAAGAAATGAGTTCGACACCCCTAATTTAGGACATCTTCAAGTTGCCTTTCTCTAACAAAAGGTTCAGGGCAGCTTGGCTTACCAACCCTACCTTGCTATTCTGGAACAGTGCAAACAGTGACTTCACTACAGAAGGCATGTTGCCATGCAAACTAGTATCATTCAAAAGCATTTCACAAATAGGGGAACAGGTAAACAAAATACCCTCTCACACAGCCATGTACTACTGTTAAGTACACTAGCCCATCCTGCATTATCCCAGTTGTTGAGAGAACGTTTAAGACTAACTTCTAGCTTAATGTCTCTTCGATTTATCGATATGAATATTTTTACGATTTGATGGCTTATTTGCTAGCTCCAAGACATTTACGTTTAGTCCAGGGGTGGCCAAACTTGCTTAACATAAGAGCCACATAGAATGAACATCTGATGTTTGAGAGCTGCAAGACATGACCAAATACTACACACACGTTTTTATTGGAAAATATGCAAATTTGCTTTTTTTTAACATTAAATTGATAACTTTAGATGGGGAGGGAGGGGGAGAGAAAAAGGGTGGAAAGAAAACAAATAGATAGGAGAGGGAGGGAGAGGTGAAAAGAAAGCAACTTTAACGTTAAATATGTCCTCCAAGCCCCCCCCCCGGCGCCCCCACGCAGGCTAGCTTGGCTTGGAGAAAGGATTTAAAGAGACAAACGCCTTCTGGGACTTCCGGTTTGTTGCTTCAGCGATGGCGGAGGCTCTCTCCTGAACAGGGGAGGCATTCCGCGCTCCAGGGGTGTTGGAGGGGTGCCACCTCAAGTGGCACCCCCAGGTGAGGTCTCCCCTTCGCTTCCCCAGCCACTGTAGCGGGAGCTGCACAATATGTGTGAAAGAGCCGCATGTGGCTCCCGAGCCACAGTTTGGCCACCCCGGTTTAGTCTTTGGTGACCTATGGAACTAGTTTTCATTTAGCTTTGTCTCTGGGATGCAAAACAATGTTAGGAAGTTTTGTGTGCTGAACAGCAGTAGGCAGTCTCCACTTCGCTGAAGGAGTTCTTGGGAACATTGGGGGGGGGGGGTTGCTTACAGTGTTCCAGATGCAGGGGGTGATCCAGGTGCTTTTGCTTTGTCAGATATTGTGTAGCACTGAAGCCTGATGCTACTACTTTAATCAGGAGCTGAGCTCACACTGATGCTAGAACACACTTAAAGAACAGAACCTGGGTCTTAATACTGTTTGTCTTAATTAGTTCTTCACTTGAATGCATCAAAAAAGAGCTGAGCTGAAGAATTTATTCCCTGGTTTCCCTGCAGAAAGGAGAGCTTACCTAGCTGCCTCTGTGAACTAGGACTTTATCTGGTGTTTTTTTTCCTACTATTGCAACAGGCATCCCGGGCCCAAATCCTAGATAAAGCCACAGAGTACATCCAGTACATGCGCCGAAAAAACCACACACACCAGCAGGACATTGATGACCTAAAGCGTCAGAACGCCCTATTGGAGCAGCAAGGTGAGCGGGGCTGAGCTGGAGTTCTCTATATGGCCTGTCCTGGGTTAGACCGTCTTATAGTAAAGCACTCTGCCGTATTTATTTTTCTGTGATGGCTGCCTAATGATCAGGGTCTATGGAGCCCACAAGTCTTTTCCCACAATCAGTAAAGCTGTGGTTGGTTGCAAGGACCTCAAAGGTTTATATGCTTGTAGTATGGCACGGACCCCTTAGATCAGTTGAACCCAGTCTCTCCGGACAGCCCAAGCTTTTATGGTGCAGGGTCTCCTCCTCCTCCTTTGCCTAAGCTTCAGGACTTTGACCCAGGATGTTGGTTGTGGGGAAATAGTTTTGATTGGCCAAGCATTGCATAACTGTAAGGCCTTTAATGACTAGAAAAGATACTTGTGGCACAATAAAACAGACTGATAACTTGCTGGTCCCCAGAGACAGATAACAGCTGCCAGCAGTTGGTACTGTGTTACGGGGGTTATATGCATTTCTATACTTAAATCATTACCCAACTCGGTGCACTTTCTGGCTGTTGGGGCAGGGTGTGTAAAATGACTCCCTGAATTGTGACTTTCAGAACATATTAATGTAAGATGCAGGCTCTACCAGTGCTGGCTACTTACAATATCTGTATTCCTAAGAACTGGGTGACTTGCATATAGCTCCCATTTGATTTCCCATTCCGATAGGCTCCACTTAAGCAGCAGAACTGCATCATGTGCTACTGGAGCATTCTCAGGCCCTGCCCAGACTAGATTGGGTTAGGCAGCCCCTCTGGCACATGGGCTGGACGGCAGCCCTTCTGGTCCTTCTATTTGGCGTACTTGGCTGGTTCTTGACCCATGTAACGGAAGGTGGGTGCCTGGAGTGGGCACGCGCTCTGCCTTTGCCGCCTGACCCCACACAGTGGCTAGCCAGGTCTGAGACAAACCCCCCTGAGTTGCCGGCTGGCTGGGCAAACTGGGAGTGAGCCTTGTCTCCCCACCACCACCACCAACACACCTGGCATCTTCAAAGTCACTGTTGGTGGCATTTTTCGGCACTTGGGTCATGAACTAGGCACTCTTACATTTATTTGTGTGAGATTATTTCTGTTGCTGTCTTGTGTGTGCAGGATGGTTTGGCTGTCTTGTGTCACCCACAGAATACTCTGATGTAGGTCCCCCCCACCGTTATGTATAAGGCTGAGAGGATGTCACGCACTAGAATCCATACCTAATAAATCCAAATTCAGTAATCTCTTTATAAAACCGGTCTGCCTCTTTAGTTTACCCATTACTTTTGTTCAGTGTTACTTTTGACCAGGGGGTTCGTGGTCAGGGCTTGTGGAAAAGTCCTGAGGTGGTTTGTTTCAGCTGTTCTGCCACTAAAGGTCTCCAAGCTAACTGGTCTGCCACTTCCAGTAATGTGGTCACAAAATGGTCTTTCCCTTTCAGACACACAAAGAATGACATGATAGCATCATCCCAGACTTTTGCACCACCAGGGTGCATATCCTTTCACACGTGAGGCCCTTGGAACCTAGAGAGCAGAATTGCCAGGCATTTTGAAGTCACCTTGGGGTCCCCCCCCCCGGACTACCCCTAGGGAAGAGTGGAAGTAAATGCAATGCTATCTGACTTATCAAGTTTTGAGTTTTATTTGCTATTTTAAGAACACGTAGAACTTGGAATTAACATGTAAATTACATATGGCTTTAAAATATTTCTGAAGTATGTAAGAAGAACCTTGGTGGATCAGACCAATGTTCCATTTAGTCTAATGTTCTGTTTCCCACAGTGGCCGAATAGATGCTACGGGAAGCCCACAGCAGGAACACGGTGGCCAAGCCCACTTCATGCTGCTCATCAGCTACTGGCCTTCAGAATTATGCTGCCTCCAAACATAGAGGTTCCATTTAGTTGTCATAGCTATTAATGGACCTGTCTTCTGTGAATTTTTAAAACCATCTTATCTATTGGCCGCCACCACATCACATAGCAGGGAGTTCCATGGGGTTAGTTATGTATTGTCTGGAAAAGTATTTTCTTCTTGTCTGTCCTGAGTCCACTGGCATTAACTTCATTGAGTGTCTCAGAGTTTTGGTATTTTGGAAGAAGGCAAAAGTTTTCTCTTTCCACTTGTTCCACTCCATGCATATTTTTGTAAAATCTTTAGTCATAATTTCTCTAAACTAAAAACAGTCAAATCCTTAGCCTTTCCTTATAGGGATTTTTGTTGACCTGTCCATCGCAACCCTGTGTTCTCTTTCCTGGTCTGTCACTGCCAGTTTAGCACCCCTAGTGTAAACATGAAATTAAGAGTTTTTGCACCAGTATGCATCACTTTACATTTTGGTACATTGAACCTTACTTGCCACTATGCTACTCACCTGCTTCACAGTCTGCTTTGGCTCTCACCATCCTGAACAACTTGGTGTCATCCTCAGACTTGGCTGCTTCATTGCTTACTCTGGGTTCAAGGTCATTTATCAACCCATTAAATAGCGCTGGTCCCAGTATAGATTTCTGCGAAATCCCATTGCTTATTTTCTTTTGTTGCAATAGTCTGTCTGCTCCTACTTGCCATTTCCTGTAGTTCAACTGGTTACTAATTTATGAGTGGACCATTCCTCATATCTCAGTACTGCTGAGTTTACTTAGGAGCTATTGGTGAGGGAAAATACAATCATAATTATGTAATAGATGCAAAATTTTATATACACACACACCATCAACACTGAGTCAAAGGAAATAGAAGGGCATGTTGTTACTACGGTTTAGAAACAGTATGTTGCCCATCAACATTATTTGAAGAAATGAGAGAGCAGGGAAGAGCAGCTCAGAAATTAATATTCTCTTATGGAATTAAGGTGACAGGGTCCTCTTATGGATTAAAAATTTGTTAAAAGAAAGCAGAATAGGAATGAATGGACTGCTCTCACACTGGAAGGAAGTGAGCAGTGGGTGCCCACAAGAATTGGTACTATTTAAATTGTTCATAAAGCATTTGGAATTGGGGCTGTATAGTGACCATGCTGGCAGATGGTCTTCAGGGTCATGAACACCAAGGCCTGGCTATGAAGAGCTACAGGAGGCTCTCTTTAAATTGAGTGAGTGGGCAACTGAGCAACAACGTGGCAAATGTACATTAAAACAAATATCCCAATTTAAACTATTTTCTGATGGGCTGTGAACTGGCTCAGACCCGAGACTGTAAGTGATACTGGGGTTATGGCAGATAGTTCAATGAAAATGTCAACTCAGTGTGCAGCAATGGTGAAAAAGGCAAACTCCATGCTGGAGATTATTAGGAAAGGGATTGAGAATACAATGATGAATGTTGTAATGCCCTTGTATAGAGCCACGGTGCAACCTCATTTGGAATACTGTGTGTAGTTCTGGTTGCCGAATCTGAAAAAGAATGTTGCAGAGCTGGAAAAAGCACAGAAGATGGCAACTAAAATAATCAAGGGGGTTGAGCATCTCTCCTATGAGAAAAGGCTGTAACGTTTACTAGAAAAAAGACAACTAAGGGTGGGGACATGATAGAGGGTTATAATATTATGCATAGGGACGAGAAAGTGGGAGAGCCTTTTTTGCTCTCCCATAATATTAGAACTTGGGAGCATCCAGTGAAGTTGTTGGGTTCAAGACAGACAAAAGTAAATACTATTTTATTCAGTGGCTAACTAAACTGTGGAATTCACTGCCAGTGGACGTGGGGATGGCCATGAGCACAGATGCCTTAAGAAGTGGATGGATGGATTCATGGAGGAGAGAGAGTTCCATCAGTCATGCCATCTATGGTGAGTAAAGGGAACCTCCACATTCAGAGGCATCAAATCTCTGAATACCAGTGCTGAGAGGCAGAATGAAACAGGAGGCTGACTAGATGGAACATCTGATCCAGCAGGCTCAACTTAAATTCTTATAATGTAGTTAACCATTTTACAGATACAGCCTCCCAAATTTCCCTTTTTTTCTGTTAGATTTTGGAAGCAGTGTTCACAAATGTACTGGGTTGTTATCTGTGAATTAGCCAGGCGGTAACAGTTTATCATGCTTCATATCATGGCTCTGTGTATAACGTTTGCCTTTCCCCCTGTCCGTATCTCTGTGGTCTTGCATTTTAGTTCGTGCACTGGAAAAGGCAAGATCAAGTGCTCAACTGCAGGCCAACTATTCCTCTTCTGACAACAGCCTGTACACCAATCCTAAGGGCAGCACCATCTCCGCCTTTGATGGCGGCTCTGACTCCAGTTCAGAGTCCGAGCTGGAAGAACCACAGAGCCGGAAGAAGATTCGCATGGAGGCCAGCTAGAAGAGGTCTCTGTTCCAGCTGCCACTAGACACTTGCTGGCTGCTTAAGGACTTTCCTTTCCTTCTTTAGTAGAGGCTCTTGGACTGCAGCTTTCCCAGTTTCTTATCCCTTACTTGACCCCCTTTTGAGTTAATCCAAACCTCTGGCTTGGCAGCTTATCCTCTGGAAGACACCAGCTATGGTATGGCTTGGAGCAGGATGTGGCCCTGTCTTGTCCTGCCCTGTGGCTGCAAGTTTCTAGTGCCAGGAATGCTCAGGCTGTCTGATGAACTGCTGATAGCCTGTGATTGCCTGGGTTGCGTGAGGACAATGACTGCTCCATTGGTCCACTTGAGCTGCACCACTCTCTCTATTGCATTGATCAGAATATTTCTATTTATGTCAACAAGGCCAAATGTCCCCCTGAAGAATCTTGAGGGGGTGGGGAGTAGGAGTTATGCACAGAAGCATTGGTGTATATTCGTTCCTGAAACGATGGTGCAGAATTCGGGGAGATGGTATTTCCTCTTATGGAAACTCAGTCTGGTCAGGTTCTTCCTCCTGCTGTGGACATTGGTGACATGAAGCTTCAGATTCATACCATGAACTCCCTATCAGTTTCTCAGACATAGAGCCAGCTTTTAAAATGTAAATACACCATAAGCTTTGTTACCTGGTACTAATAACTGCATCAAAGCACGGACCTCTTGCCCCCCCATGGCAAATGGGCCAGTCACCCATGTGAGTTAAAAGGGCACAGGCTGTGTGAGTGAGCAAAGGCCTCGGTGTGCGTGTGCGTGCATGTGTGTGTCTTCTTCCCACTCTTGTTTGTGATGTTTTCTGAATTTAGTGTATACAAGTGTAGCTTGGTCTCTGTCCAGGTGTGAGTCTATCCATGGAACTGAAGTATGTTGTACATACTGCCCAAGAATTGTCTTGCAAGTTAAGGCTTCCCTTTACTATAAGACTATAAATAAAAATATTTTATCCTTGTAAGTGGTAGCGTTTTCTTTTTGGGATGCTGTCATTGTCTCCAAAAAACAATTAAGTCTAATCAAGGGTCCCACCCCCCACCCCCTTTTAAACCTGTGTCAGCAGCCAGGATGAAGTTGTTGACCAGCTAAAGAACAAATAATACGCAAGCGCAGACTTACTCTAGATACAAAATGGTGTATTTCTCTTACATTATGTGACATACTGATTTTCAGTAGCCAATACCAAGAAAAGCTATATCTTGAATAGAGGTGTGTAGAAGAGGAAGTTTGGAAGACAGCACAATTGTTCTAAGGAGTAGCTAAATGCTTTCAGTTGTTCAGAGCTTTGGGGCTGTGTTTGGCCTCCTGGAAGAGGACAGTTTCAACCTATATGGCCCTCCCTTCACTTGTTACCCCAATAGAAGGAACATATTTTGGAATGGTTGCTTAGGACCATATGGGCAGGTACCTTATTGGTGCATGATTCTGACTAAACATTTAACTGGTAGTATTTCAGGAAGTGGAAGTAGTTCCTAATTTCTAATCTTAAGCATCTGAATTGCAGCAGTTCCTGGCCCTGTGCTTCTCGTACATTTCCTTCCTTAGGATTGCGGAATTGACAGCAAAAGCAACACATGTACAAGAAAATGTAAGGCGAAAATGAGTTTAAAGCAAGATGAGATACTTAGAATTTTTTTTCTTCTGCTTTCAACAAAAGACGCTTTGTAGAAATAAAGCCATGGTAAATCCCTCAGGTAGTGAGAGATGGGTACAGCTTATCTTGCTGCAACCTTTACTGCTACATGAGGGAGTGCAGGAGGCCATCCTGAGCAAACTGAAGAGGAGGTGGTACAGTCTGAGCATGTAACCATGTCACTGCTCTTGTAAACGTTGCTTATAGAATCTTCTCTCTCATGGCACAGCTTCCAACAATTAGAATTTGCTGTGCCATTTTGTAGTGGAGGACTCCTGCATAGTTTTGGACTGGTGGACAGGAAGTCTTGCCCATTACTGGCTACGTGAAAACTCTTGCAGAATCTGTTCCCATCAGGTTATGGAGTTTTTAGGAGGCTTGCTGCTATACGAGTAGGGAGATACTGTGATACAGATGCCTATATGAGAGGGAGAATGCATGGATTCGTCTGCGGATCTCCAGAAAGCCAATACTGTGGGGTACTGCTGTGAACAGGGAGGACTGGATGACATCACTCTACACATGAAGCTGCCTTCAGTGTCAGTATTGTCTACTACGGTCCACTAGGACCTCCCAGACCTCAGAGACAGGGGTCTTTCACATCACCTGATATCTGGAGATGCCAGGGATTGAACCTAGGAACTTCTGCATGCCAAGCAAAGGTCTTCCACAGAGCTGCAGCCCTTTGCCCCATTTCCCTTCTGTGCTAATGGAGCCTCTTGTATTAACAGAAATTCTACCATTAGGAGAACAATGAAACTAAATTTCTCCTCTTCAGAGGAAGCTGCCCCGTGGCCCTTTGTCCAGCTTTTCAAAGGTCTCAGGGGGGTGCTGGAGGGAGGAGCATCCATGAGTGGGTTGCAGGATCCAACGAAAATTGTATGAATTTGGCCTCAGGAAAGCACATTTTTCCGCTTTGTAAGGCTCTAGAAAAAAATGGCTGAGGCTTCTGTAAAATTTTCCACTCATTACCACATTCTGCCAGTTTTCCTGCATTTGCACAGAATACAAGCATAGCCCTAGCTGTAATATCAAAGCTTGGCAAATTCAGCTAAGCTTGAAACCTGTAATCAGATTTTCATATCCCAAATTACCACCCACAAAGGACTGAAGCTTACAACAAGCATTTGACTCAGTATTTGTTATGAAGTAAGGGAAAGAAATACCTTGGATTTTGCAGTGCTTGGAGTTTATAGGGATTTAAGGTACTATAGTGGATGAAGAAGAGAGAAGAGATTGGATTTATACCCTGCCCTTCACTACCCAAAGGTGTCTCAGAGCGGCTTACAAACTCCTTCCCCTTCCCCTCCCCACAACAGACACCCTGTGAGGTGGGTGGGACTGAGAGAGCTCTGACAGAAACTGCTCTTTTTCAAGGACAGCTGTGCCAGAGCTTGTGACTGACCCAAGGTCACATCAGCAGGTGCAAGTGGAAGAGTGGGGAAGAGTTCTCCCAGATTAGAGTCCGTGCACTTCACCACGACACCAAACTGGCTCTCCTGGATGCTGTGCACTTGTTACTGCAGCACGTGTAACTCCCATGGAAATCCGAGAGCCAGTGTGGGTAGTAGTGTGACTAGGGGCCTACCATTACTAGATGACCTTGCGCCAGTTTTAGTTCCATCGCTTAAAACTTAATTTACGGGGTTCTGAGGATACAGTGGGGGAGGGCGGAACCATATATGTCATCACCCTGAGCTCCTTGAAGAAAGTGTGGGGTAAAAAAATAGAGCAAATACATTTAAACGTCGGCAGTGTTTAGAGTCTTCCATTGCAGGGGAATCTGCATGATTGAAGGAGCAGATTCTTAATCCTGACTTGGCTCCTGAAGAGGCACTGTGGCACCTGCTTGCTTCTCACCCACTGCTGCAAGTAGCCAAGTCTGGATTTTTCTACCTTATTGGCGTAGGAGGAGCCTCAAAAGATCATCAAGGGGCGTGGCCTTGTCTCTCAAAAGACACCCATTCAGAAACAGCTGTGTCTTCACTGCAAGAAGACCTTTGGCTTGCAGTCTCCCAGTGTTTTGTGACTGGACCCAGCCCCTCGGGTAGCCACTACTCACTGCCTAGTCTTGAACATGCCTGCAGGCTCAGTTTGAGAATGTTTCAAACAGGTTCTGAAAAACATTCTAGAGTTGTCTGTGGAAGCCTTCATACAGATTTTCTTCCAGTGCTGCCAGTGTGTGTATTTTACCCCATAGCCTTTGGAAGGAAAGGGGTGTCTCAGATGTAGTAGGCCAGGCTTCCTTAGGCAAGAGGAGGACTGGTTACCGTGCCCAACAAGGAGACGTCTTCCTCACACCATGAAGCTTTACTTTGGGAACTACTTGATACAGATTGGATTCAGCTGGGTAGCCGTGTTGGTCTGAAGCAACAGAATGGTTTGTGTCCAGTGGGGGCACCTTACAGACCAACAACGTTTAATTCTGGGCAGGAGCTTTGTCAGTCTAAAAGGTGCCCCCACTGGACTCAAACTTTGTTGGGGGGGTGATGAATGAAATATATATATGAATAATCCACATCAAGACAACCACCTCAGGCAGGGCTCCACGTCAGAGCCAGTAACTTCAGCTGCAGATGCAAGACGAATCCTGGATTAGTTTCCTGTAAAGGATCAAGTTTATCAAACTCTTTCAAAACAACCAGTACATACCCCAAAATGCAGGAGAGGGATCACACTGTTTCCCCACCTCCAAGAAGAGTTCTTTTTAACATGGGCTGAGAAATCCGCCCACTCACACTGGGAATTGGTACAGCAAAGCAACGCTACCAGTCATCTCCACGTGTAGGTCAGGCCCGAGTGGCCTTCCAGACAGCCCTGAAGCACTGAAGCCTTTCCTAAACACGTTTCGATTGAAGAGTTTTGGGAACAGACCAAAGACTGGGCACGGCAGTAAGAAAGGAATTAGTATATTTTTAATAAAATGCACAAACATACTGTCATACTGTCCTCTGGGCAGGCGACTAGGAACTTAGGCCAGAGTCTGGCCTTCATTAAGTGCCAGAAGAGGGTTTCTAGACACCATTTTATATTGCTGAG